TGACCATAAACATAAACATAAACATAAACATAAACTTGAATATCTCTTTGGGAGCGAAACACTTACGTGTCAATCATCTGTTTCAAATCTGGATATATTGACCAATCATTGTATAACGAGTCCAGATAATACAGTTTCTCTCATAGGATTAATCGCAACCAATAGCCAGTGTCCACTGTAAGATTAAACAAAGATTAAACAATGGACAAAAACGGAAAACTATAATAGATTAAGCTAGGATGAAATTCTAACCCGTTGCCAGTATTATATGGAAAAAAGAACAACTTCTCGGTATCTTTACTGGCCACAAATAAACCTAGTACATATGATATGACATCATCTGGTCTCGTTCCAATCAACCCGGAATTGACAGTGTTGGGAGCTAAGAAGCCAAATCTTGCTTCCAATCCACGCGGGCGCACAATGTTGCCATACATAAACCTTAAATTAAAACATGATTAACATTATACTATATTCATTGAAATGAGGGATTAAATTGTTCATTTAATTAAACAAAGTTGATCGGAGTATACCTGATGTATATACCGATAACACCGAGGCCTAATTCCAAATGCCTAAAAACTTGCTCCATGTCCTCTCTACCAATTACTTCAAAATATTCAAAACCAAAGATATCTGCACTCATAGATATAAGCCGGGTACCACCATCTGGAATATCTGTAATTCCTAAATATGTCTGAAGACACGACTTGAACTGAGCAGTAGTTTTTTTGTGTGCCACAGTCTTCTTAGCAACATTCTTTTTCTGTGTCAAAATGTTGCTAATTTCAGGCGCCTTACCCCTACTGAGTTGTGCAGCCTCTTTAGCATGAATCTAGTTATCATATAATTAGTTAGGGAAAGTATAAAATCACAAATTAGCATTTCTCATAGCATAATGTCATCTAATTGTGTTACCTCAAATGATGCAATTGACTCGGTATCCCGCCTAATCCCCTTATTTTTTGGAATGGATTTAGTGGGAGTCTAACATTACCATGTAAACAAAACGTAAGTATAATTGCCATAAAAATTTGAATAGTAAACGATTTTAGGCATACCTCATTATCTACGCAAACGAGGCTTCATGGCCATGCAACAAATGATCCTATTGCATCCGCCACCAATGTTGCATCCGCTACATCGTCAGGTAGTGGTAACAATGCACCCCCCTGTAAAACGACGTCAACTGATACTTTCAAAAATCCCTCTGGGAGGGGTCTATGGTGAAGCATTTCTCCCGAGATATTATACACTTTTCCCTTGCCAACCATCCGATAAGTCGGTGTAAACAAATAGAGTTGACACCGGGAAATGCCCTATAATTTAATAAATATGGTTATATAATTAATAAACATGGTTATATAGTTAATAAACATGGTTTTATAATTTATAAAGATGGTATATAATTACCTCGGGAATATTTTGTCCAAAGTTACCATTGATACTAGCTTTGTCACTAGTATCTTTAAAGCCTGTAGCTTGATCGATTTCTTCCTTTCTCAGCTCATAGACTTCTTGTTGTAACTTTTCTAACTTCTCCTGCAGTTCTTTATTGCTTGGAGATTTTGTCTTTGTTTTTTTTCCTTCAAGAATGTGGGAGTGATCCCAAATTCCTTACCCCTCACCCGACCAGAATACTCTCGAATATCTAATGCTCGTGAGAGTATTCTCCTGCAATCAGTATCTTCGTCTGGAGGTATAGATTGGGAAAGACTCTCCTGAAATTCATATAAATATTGCAGTTAAAGAATGATATGTTAATAAAATAATGATGTAATTAAATAAATAAAACTATGATGTAATTAAATAAATAATGTTATACTTACACATCTCTCGAAAATTTGTTGAACTTTTTCTTCAACAGCTCCATCCTTACACACACGTGCTTCCTTCCAGAAAATGTGTTCCGGAAGAGATGTTCCATAACTATTCTCTTTTGTTAGCTACACATTAAGCCAAAAAACATGATTAAATATAAGCGTGTATATATTAAATATACTTTGCAATTTATAGATACTTACAATAGATTGTTGTAATTGTGCTATCCCATACGGCCTTTTCTGTATGGATATGCTGGACTTGAAGCTCGTTGTCGATTTACGACACTTAAGCTCTCAAATTTTTGGGTACTTCTTTTCGATTTAAAAGTTTCCCATTCTTCAGCTGTAATCAAATCAGCATATTTCCTTGGAAGCTCTGCATCAACAAAAATTTTATCTGCATCCCTTAGAAACTTGTTTGACAAGAAAGCTCTAAAGCCTCTATGTAGTTTCCCGACCAATTTAAGAATATAATCTCTCCTTGTATCCTCAATGATGAACGACCTCTACGAAAATCATAAACAAAGTGTGTTAGTATAAGTAATTTAGAGACATAATCGTCATTAAAAACAATTAACATCACATATGGTACCTGTATCTCACTCCATATTTTATCTTTAGCGTCGTCCAACACTCTTGCTCTCCAATCTTCACATGTGATTAGAATTTCTCTTCTTACCACGGAACCGAGATAACTTGTCAACGTTGAACCGTTAGGCTCAATGAGTTGGCCTTCTTGGCTCCAATGCACTTCATACTTTATGCATTGGTCTCTATCTCGTATTATTCTCTTCATTATTGTTATTCCTCTTCTATATTCCCTTTCAGTTTTACTAACGGCCTTATCTCCATCATGCACAGAATCATCACGTGGGTGATCGTCGTTAGTAGCCATCTAATAACCTGTAATAAACATAAACATAAACCCAATATAAAAGCAAGTCAGAACCAAGAATCCAAAAAATAGAACCAAGATATCATGTTTTATATCATGTTTCACTATCATGTTTCACCATCATATATCATGTTTTATATTCCAAAACATAGAACCAAGAATCCAAAAAATGCTAAAAATGCTAAGTGCTAAAAATGTTGCTGTTATATATCAAGCCCTACCAAATGCTAAAAATACTAAATGCTGTTGTATATCAAGCCCTACCAAATGTTGTTATATATCCAAAAAATGCTAAAAATGCTAAATGCTAAAAAATGCTAAAGAACACATTTTCAATGGAGTTAAACACATTTTTAATAAAGAACATACCTTGAGAACCGGCCAGTGTGGGTGGAGGAAAACGGAGCGAGACGGTGGAGGACGGTACGACGGCGAACGGTGGAGGACGATTTGAGACGGAGACGGAAATGGGTTTCGCGAGGGAAAGGGTTTCTGTTTGCGTGTGATAGTGATACTGTGAATACAAATGTTATGTTTTTTAATTCTGACTTATAAGGATTTAGACAACGCTTTCTAAAAGCGCTGGCTAAAGTGGACCTTAGACAGCGCTAGCTAATAGTGACCTTTAGCCGTGCTTTTCTATAATTTTTTTTAATTTTTTATGACTTTAGACAGCGCTTTCTTAAAGCGCTGTCTAAAGTGGCCCTTTGCCAGTGCTTATGATAAAGCGCTTTCTAAAGCAATCCTTTAGCAGCGCTTTTTAAAAGCGCTGTCCAAGGTCATATGTTTAGCAGCGCTTTTACTAATTATTTTATACGTTTTTCGTGTTTTTTTTATTCACATATAGCAGCGCTTTTGTACAAAAGCACTGTCTAAGGTGCGCTGTTAAAACTTACTTTTGGCGTAGTGAATAAAGACCAAAATGATGAAATCACTTAAGAAACAACAAACCACATACAACAACAAAGAATATCATGTGCAACTAATGGATTAGAAACGACAATCCCATCGAACAGGAATAAAGTACAAAATCCAACGCTAAGAAACACGAGCGCGACATAACAAAGAACAATATCCGGTACCAAGAAACACGAGCGGCAGCCAAGAAACACGAGCAGTAGAATCAGGAAACCAAGAATCAAACGATCCAGAAGATAATTACGACGACAACTACATGAATTTGCATGAAAGAAATTCCACAGTGATCGATCAAGATTCGATGAACAACAAACGTCGAGCGACCAGAATGTTGTCGCAGCAGAGAAAAAAAGATAAACACGATCAGAACCAAAAATTCACAAGTATGATCGACAAGGCTGATACCATGTCAGGTAAATTGGCTTGATGTCTTTCTCATTGTTATTTCTTGTATATATAGAGCTTACAGGACTATACAAGTAATTACACTAAATAATTACATTTAATGAGAACAAATCAATTTCTGATTTCTTTCCCTTATTCTAAGAACAAACCCTTATTCTAGGAACAAACTAATTTCTATCACAACTACGTGGCTCAATCTCTCATGGTCTAGTCCTCTCTCCATCTATTACAAGTCACAGGTTCTTCTTAAGAAGCTATAGTGATTTAGATTGGATTAATGATCATGATGATAATAAATCAGTCTCATGAACTTGTATCTTCTTTGGCCCCACTCTTGTGACATAGAGCTCAAAAAAGTAGACCCTTGTAGTAAGGTCAAGCACATAAGAGGAATATCGAGCATTAGCTCACATTACCTCAAAATTATGGCTAGAATCACTCTTAATTGTCTAGGTGTTCCATTTTATCCAGCTACGTTGTTATGTTAAGTATTGTGATACTAATCCACAATCTTATTCTACATGTGCGTACTAAACATATCGAATTTAATATTCATTTTGTTCATGAAAGAATAGTTTCAAAGAAACTTGTCATCCAACATGTTCTAACTTATGCTTAATTTTTTGACACCCTAACAAATTCACTTAGTGTAAGAACATTTCAGGATTTGAATACCAAACTCAAGGTCATTTGATGCAAACCTCTTTGATCTTGCGGGTGAGTGTTACTGTAGAACATAACATAGTTTAATTTCTAATAAATATACCGTTGAATGACAACAATGAGGCATAAGCTAATTTGTGCATTCACGAGAAAGCAACCGATATTGCTATGCACTTTTATTTGGTACAATGAAATTGTAGATCTCTGTCCTCTAATTGATCTAATAATTCACTTTTATTTGGTTCCACATAAACCATTCATGTCACTGTTAATAAGTTACTCATTAGATAATAAAACTAGAATGACATCGTATATTGATGTTTGTCAAAAATACGATTGAGAATTGCTGCCAGTCGAATTCCTCCTTGAGCTAATCTCAAATTTATTATCGGGAAGCGTGTCTGGAAGTACTCATCTGCAATATACATTTTGGTAATATATATGAATAAATTGTGCAAAATTTTCTCTTTAATTAAATTATAACTACCAAGTACTATTTAATTTACCTTGTAATACGGAGCCTTCGGCGGCATCTTTATATGCCCATTTGCAAGCATCTTCGATACTTTCAGATGCATACCTAAATTAAACAAAACTCATCCGTATGTTAGGAGCATGCATGTGTATAATGAGTTGGGAGTACCGTTATAAAAGTTTTAGGATATAATTCATTTATGTTATTGAAAAATGTGACATTTATTTTATATACTTTAATTTTATATAATATAATAAAAATATTTTCTATTTCTTTAAAAAAATAAGGATCTCAGTTCTCGAATAATATTAATATTTGATAGACATGTCATTCAAGAATCAAATATCTTTTTTATTTTCTTTTTTCAATTTTTAAAGACAGTGTAAATATTATTTTTTGATCTAGATGACATGCATGTTGAAACTCTAACCTAAAAAATGTTAAAACAACATAAAATATAAAACCAGAGCTTTGAAGGTAGTAACATTGGTGAAAAGAAACTTGATAAAGATGAAATGAGAGAGAGAGAGAGAGAGAATTAGGGTAGAGAGTAATATTGGTGAATCAAAAATGACATTAACGTTGAATTGAGATTACAACAATGTATATATACACGCGAGAAAATAATACAACTAATAACCAAAATCAACTAAAGTGCCATGCTGTTAAATTCTGTTATTTTCCAAAAAACTAATAGCTGTAACAGATTTTTAACAGCTCACAACACACCACCTCACTTTAGTTGCTCCAAGTTCATCATGCTCAAGCTCTTCAACAGTCTCTTGAACACTTCATTTGTCACACCCTTGGTCAACAAATCTGCAACTTGGTCCTCACTTCGGCAATAGCTCAATCTAAGCTTTCCATCACCAACCAATTCTCTCAAGTAATGAAACCGCATCTCAATATGCTTTCTCCTTCCGTGTGCAATCGGATTCTTCGCAAGATTTATCGCGGAAACATTATCCACAAACAGTGTGATGGCATCATCATCACCACATCCCAATTCCTTCATAAGATTCACTAACCACATAGCTTGGCAAGCACTCAATGATGCCGCAATGTACTCGGCCTCACAAGAAGAGAGTGCTACAACCGGTTCCTTCTTCGAACACCATGAGATTGGTGTACTACCGAACATAAAGATGTAACCCGCCGTAGATTTCCGATCATCTTTATCTCCGCACCAATTAGAATCGGTGTAGCCAAATAAAGTACATTTGCGACCCATATCCGATGTGGGAAACAAAATACCACAACCAAGAGTACCTTTCACATATCTAAGGATTCTCTTGACCGCCGCCAAGTGAGACACCTTAGGTCTCTCCATGAATCTACTCGCAATACCGACACTAAAAGTCAAATTCGGTCGAGTATTGCACAAGTACCGTAACGACCCAATCAAACTCCGGTAAAGTGTTGGATCCACATCATCCTCATCATCACTTTTGGACAGATGTACTCTAGCCTCACAAGGTGTAATAGAAGCATTACAATGCTCCATCTCACACTTTTTCAAGATATCTAGAGCATACCTCCTTTGATGCATAAGCAGCCCCACTTTTGACTTGTGAAACTCTATGCCAAGAAAGTAACTCATGACACCAAGGTCTGTCATCTCAAACTCACTCATGAGCTCCACTTTGAACCTTGAAATACTCTTGTTATTACTGCCCGTAATCAAGAGATCATCAACATACAAGCAAAATATAATAACACCATCAATAGTATTCAATCTCACATAAACACCATGTTCGGATACACACCGTTTGAAACCGATGTCAATAAGAAAGCCGTCTATACGTTTGTTCCAAGCTCTCGGAGCTTGTTTCAAACCATACAACGCCTTGTGTAGCTTGTAGTACTTCCTCTCTTGATTTTTGATCACGAAACCGGGTGGCTGCCCCACATAAACCTCCTCATCAAGAGGACCATTCAAAAGCGCAGATTTCACATCCATTTGGTAAATCACCCAATTGTTACTATGCGCAATTCCAACAACCAAACGAATAGTCTCCAATCTAGCCACCGGTGCGAATACCTCCTCGTAGTCTATGCCTTCACGTTGCAAGAACCCTTTCGCCACTAATCGAGCTTTGTGCTTTATTACGTCACCTTTAGGATTTGCTTTAACTTTATAGACCCATCGCACACCTATCAGTTTCTTTCCAAGTGGTAAATCGACCAACTCCCAAGTACCATTTTTCTCAATAGATTCCAGCTCCTCTTTCATTGAACATATCCATTTAGGATCACTTAAGGCTTCCTCCTCATTTACCGGTTCAGATTCGGCCATAAGCGCGAAATGAACAAAATCACCATCATTATTCACTTCGTTATCTTGGAACCTTTCGCAATCTCGGAGTCTATGAGGCAAGGCTCTTTGCCTCACTGGTCTACCATTATTCACAACATCATTTTCCTCTACTATAGGTGCAGGTACAACAACATCAGAATTCTCCGGATCAAACAAATCAACAAACTGCTGCTGTTCAGCAGGATGTAACCGATTAGCAACAAACTGTTGTTGCTGTTCACCTACTGTTTCAGCAGTTTTTATTTCATCAAACTGCACATCCCGGGTTATCACGATTTTCTGATTCCTCTCATCAAATAGCTTGTAACCTCCCGTAGAGTGATATCCAACAAATATCAATTTCTCACCTTTATCATCCAATTTCTTTCTAAGTTGATTCGGTACATGACGATATGCAATCGATCCAAAAATGCGCAAATGATTCACACTCGGTTTGAAACCACTCCAAACCTCTTCTGGTGTAATTTTCTCCAGCTTCTTAGTAGGACACCTATTCAACAAGTAGGTGGCTGTAGACACGGCCTCACCCCACAATTCTTTAGGTAACTTCTTCCCACAAAGCATACTACGCACCATGTTCATTATTGTACGATTTTTCCTCTCGGCAGCTCCGTTTTGTTGAGGCGTATATGGAGGCACCACCTCACGCACAATACCCTCAAGATCACAAAACTTCCCAAACTCACTAGAGGTATATTCACCTCCACCATCCGTTTTGAGAATTTTAAGCTTCCGACCGCTTTGACGCTCCACCATGGATTTGAAACTCTTGAACACTCCAAACACCTCATCCTTTCTCTTGATAAGATATGTCCAAAGCTTCCTACTAAAATCGTCAATGAACGTAAAAAAATATCGATTGCCGCCATAAGTCTCTACTTGCATCGGTCCACAAACATCGGAATACACCACCTCAAGTAAGCCTTTGGTTCTTCGACCCGAATCCTTGCTAAACACATTCTTGTGTTGCTTAATCTTCACACATTCCTCACATAATTCTGTCGGAACACTAATATGTGGCAGCCCCGTTACCATTTCACTTTGTTGCAACATTTTAAGATCCCTAAAGTTTAGGTGACCAAGACGGTAATGCCATAACCACTCATCTCTACTTGCCGCGGTAGCTAAACAACGATGCTCCATAACCTTTAACGCAACCTTAAAAGTTCTATTGGCAGCCATCGGCGCTTTTAGAATCAACACACCGTTTGAATCTAAAACGCATAACATCTTGTTCTCCAACCGAATTAAGTACCCTCTTTCAAGTAATTGGCCAATGCTTAAAAGATTGCACTTAATTCCCGGTATGTACAAGACATCTTTGATCCTAGAGTGTCCACCATTCTTTCTTTCGATCAAAACATCTCCTACCCCTTCGGCTCTTAAAGTGGTGTCGTCGGCAAACTTGACTTTACTCTTTGCCGCTTGATTGATTTGCACAAACCAATCCTTTTGACCCGTCATATGTGTTGAAAAACCGGAATCCAAGTACCACTCATCTTTACTTTGAACTTCATCATGCATAGTAAGTAATGCATTTCGATCCGAATGCATTTTTCCACCACTTTCCGAAACTGTACAGCTGCTGTCCCGCAGACTATCACCACAGTAGCTACTGTCCGAAACATCAACAATGTGATAATTCTCTTCCGTAATCATCACAAGAAGGGTATCTTCATCATCTACCTCTTCCCTAGCAACCTTAGCCTCATCCGCATCCTTTTCCTTGCGTTTTGAGCGACATTCTTTCGCAAAATGCCCAAGCTTTTGACAATTATAACACTTCACATAACTTTTGTCAAACGGTTTGTGGGCGCTTTGATTACCATCTTTGGAGCTTCCTTCACCCTTTGAATTTTGTGGATATTTTCCACCAAAATTCTTCTTATTTTTAGAAGTCCACTTCTCTTTCGATCTATTGTTCTTCTCATGTAAACACGTTTGCAAAGCGATCTCCGCTTTGGCTTTGTCGGCACTTCTCTCATCCATCCTTTGTTCATGCGCCTCTAACGAACTTTGCAACTCATCTTTGCTCAAAGTTGTTAGATCCTTTGATTCCTCAATAGCCACAACAATGTTATCGAAACGTGATGTTAACGAACACAACACTTTCGATACAACATTCTGCTCAAGGATCGTTTCGCCACATGACTTGATTTGGTTGACTAACGGGGTAATGCGCGTGATGTAATCGTTGATCGTTTCTTTGTCCTCCATTTGTGTTAACTCAAATTGACGTTTGTAAGTTTGTAACCTTACCACCTTCGCTTTGACGGCACCGGCATACGCTTTCTCCAAGATTTCCCATGCTTGCTTCGCGGATTCACAATCACCAACCTTCTCGAAATTGTCGTTATCAACACAAGAGTGAATCAAGAATAGGGCTTTGTAATCCTTTTTCTTTTCTTCCTTGTGTGTAGCCCTACGAGCATCGGTAGCATCTGCCCCTAACGGTGTAACTCCATTGATGACGATCTCAAGCACCTCTTGATAACCAAACAAAACCTTCATTTATTTCGCCCATTTGTCGTAGTTCTTCGAATCAAGAATTGGGAGATTGGTGGGAATTCGATCATTGAAAACGGTAGCCATTGTTGCAGCGGATTAGGATCAATAACCGGAGCTCTTGATGCCAAATGTTAAAACAACATAAAATATAAAACCAGAGCTTTGAAGGTAGTAACAGTGGTGAAAAGAAACTTGAGAGAGAGAGAGAGAGAGAGAGAGAGAGAGAGAGAGAGAGAGAGAGAGAGAGAGAGAGAGAGAGAGAGAGAGAGAGAGAGAGAGAATTAGGGTAGAGAGTAATATTGGTGAATCAAAAATGACATTAACGTTGAATTGGGATTACAACAATTTATATATACACGCGAGAGAATAGTACAACTAATAACCAAAACCAACTAAAATGCCATGCTGTTAAATTCTGCTATTTTCCAAAAAACTTACAGCTGTAACAGATTTTTAACAGCTCACAACAGAATAAATATTTAAATATATGATGAATTTTAAGACAGTGGTTTTTATATTTCACAATATAACTTTCTTAAAATAATAATATTTTTTTTGTCAATTTTACTGTCGGTTTTGTATAAAAGTTAAATTTAAATTATATATAAAATCAAACAACTTAATCAAAAATAAAAATCAATCAACGTCATATTTCTTAAGATAAAATTTTCATTTATATATTGTGGTTAGAGGAGGATATACCATGTGATCCATTTAAGAGGTTGTTTTATTTTCTTTTGGATCTAAGAATTTAATACTCCCTTAGTCCTACATTATTTGTAATAATTAATCATTTCACAGATATTAGGAAACAATAACAAAAGAAAGCGAGAATGATAATTTTAGTAAATTATCGTGATTAATTATTAGTGTATTTGAATTAGTATTAATATTAAATGAGAAAATAATAAATTAAAAATATTTATTAGAGAATATAATTGAAAGATTAAATATAAAATATATTAGTAATATAAAGTGACAAAGTATTTTAAGACAATTTTATTTCATAAATGTGACATTTATTTTGGGACAGAGAAAATAGCATATAAATTTTATCCGTTAAAGATAAATAAGTGACATGTTCCATATTCGAACTCGAACTCATACAATTAGACGTGTTATGCACATCTAGACATATGTTGTTTAATTTTACTACTATTAAAATGTGTATTGATAGTGATGTTTAGGAATGGGCAGGAGTTGGAATAGTTTGGGAGCTAGCTAGAGACAAGAGCAACAACGATATTTCATGAACATTAAAGAGATATATTATCCAAAATCTTAATACATTAAATATATGAATATTTTGTTTTATAAATTTAATATTTTATTTGTTCATAAATTAAGTAGAATCTAATCACTCACAATTGAACTTCAATAAAAGTCGGAGGAAATTGTTTGAAGGTGGCTCATAGACTTCTAAACAATAGAATAATCACAAATTATAATTTATTCATATGTGTCTTGAATCATGACTCATTGTCGTGTGTACTACATTGTGATCAATTAGAAAATCTCTTTTGAGTATAATTTTTTTTTGGCAATACTTAGAATGCATATGTATAGTGCAATTTTTATGGTGTTTTTATACAATTTAGCAGTTTACACTTGGCTTAAAAAAAGTCAAAGAAAGGCTTTGGCTGGTCCCGTGTAGTGCAACTTGAAAAAGCGTAATAATTGTTTTTTCTTTGTTCTTATAAACCTTCCTTGCAACGAATTATTGATCACATCAAAATTACAATTTTGGTAGAGTTTAAACTTTATAGGGTGAAATGTGCAATGTCCCTTAATGATGACCTTGGTTGGTTAAAGGGTAAAATGAAGTGTAATGTCCCATTTCAATAATTAAAAACAAAAGTAGTAGTATGGGTATGGGACTCACGTGATTGGACATGCGATGTCATCAGAGCTGCAGTTCTCCCACTCTTCAACTTGAGTACCCCACACCTTCTGTTCATTTATAATACAAAATGAACAACGATAAGGTTTAATTATCGATACAAATTATACCATTAGACAGTAAAAAAACATGATTCACGTGAGTAGTACCGTAATATTGGTTTGAATTGCATCAATGAATTCTCCCAAGTCGGAGTTATAGAATCTTTCAACTTCACTCTCAATTATGCTATTGTCCCAAACCTGCGTACATACAATAATTAAGTATAGAATTTGATAGAAAAAAAAGTATATTTTAAATAAGAGATTATAGATAACTTACTTGGTGAAGGTTTGTTTTATTAGCGAACCACTGAACAATAATGGTATTGCCTCCTTTGTCTGAGAGAAAGCCACAATGTAGAGGCTGATGAATGTCTCCCACAAGATGTGAAAGGAATAGAAGGGATTCTGTGAGGTTGTCTGGTATATTACAAAATTCAAATAATTAATTAAAATGTGTGTATAAAATAATGTAAATTACTTTGCAAAAATTGATTTACATGTAGATTCTGTGTTACTGCCATAGTGAAGAAGCTGGTTGGTGTAATTAGTAATTGCGCCCACAACGCATCGACCTTTGGCTCCTGTTCTTGCATCCATACAATCCCCTGAACTTGTATATATGTTCACATTCACATTTGAAACTAGTACTAAATAGGACAAGATATGATATAACTTACTTTCATTTTGGTAATTGCAAGTGTCTGGAGTATTAGCAAAGTGCAAAGAAGCTGACCAAGGAAATTGTTTTCTAACATTGTCTGGCCATGAACACATACTGGCCAAGTCATTTTCTGCTGATTTTGGTAATAACTCTTTCACGGCCTCAGCAGCTATGTTGCTAAGACGAGCTTGGGCAATCTTGCAAACAGTGTAATGTCCTTCCTCTCCCCATCCTTGTGTGTTTCGAAGAAAAAGCATGAATGAAACCGTGGCTATGGCTATGACCAGGACTAGCTGCATTCTGTAACACAAAAAACAAATGCAAACAGTGACTCAACTGATTTTGTGTGACAAAGACAACAGGGGTTGATATATATAATTATTAGAGCCATATGCTCTTTTGACACCAATTTGCCTACACCCTATCCTATCATGTCAGTCGTGTGTTAAAATATATTAAAAATTTTAAAACACACTATTTTATAGGGTGTATTGTCAAATTTTGTGTCAAAATAACATTTCACTACTCCCTCAGTTCTTTTATTTTTTAATTGTTACTTTAATTTTTTTTTTTTTAATTGTTGCTTATAAAATTTTAGATAGTATTAATTATATTTTTGTCAAAATTACTCTTATTCATTTGTTACAGAAAAAAAAAATCAAATACATATCATAAATGATTAAGGATATTAGAGGTAAAAAGATAATTATTATTTAAAAAGTAACAATAATAATTAACTTTTTTAATATATATAAAAATGATAAAAATAACATTTAGAAAAGAATAGAGAGAGTACTTGTTAAAAGGTTGGGATTGGGAGACTTACGGATGAAAAATAAATAAAGTAAATGTAATAATTAAGAATAAAAAAAGAATAAAAAAGAATATCGAAGAGATAAATAATTAGTTTAATGGTTAACACTCGATCTATAAAAAAAAAGATTACGGTTTGTTTTCTTACCATTCAATTGTGATGAAATTAGAATGATTTCATGTCATTAATCTCTGAATCAGATTATACCAATGATAAAAAAAAAATCACTCAAATCAAATGAGTTGTTAATCAAGTCTCTTTGAACATAAGATTCATGTGTTTATTTATAGTCAAACTTTGACAGCTTACCGTTGGAGACATGAAATTTGTATAGACTTTGTGGAAAATAGGAGTGGATAATTAGTTGGTTTGGATCGAAATCGGACTAAAAATTTAAATATGACACAAATTGCAATTTCATTATTAAAGCTCGATTTCAATTGATAAAATTTCGAATTTTAACGAATTCGATTTGATCGATTTAACGGATAAATCAGATAGATTTGATCGGTTAATATTATTAAAATTAATCTATAAAAATTACTCATCTTTTATAAAATTTAAAAGTATTCATCTTTTAATTTTTTTTTTATAAAAACTATCAAAATTTTAGAATAATTTAAAAAACTATTTTTTTATTGTTGAAAAAAAATGTTAGTGTCACGTTATAAAATTTTAAATATTATTTAATATTAATTTGTTCATTATTATACTTTAAACAATAAATTATATAATACTCAAAATTTATATTGTATATCTTATATTTTAATGAGTATACAATGTTATCATTAAATTATAAAAAAATAAATAATAATTTGATAATATTATGAATTCTATTTTTATAATGCTTCAATTCTAAAATAATAATAAAATATATAAAATAAATATTTATTAAATTCGGTCGGGTTTAATTTCTAATGAATTTAAAATAAATATCCGAATCCGACCAAATCAACTCTATAATATCAAAATTAAATAATTCAATGAACTCGACGCTCAATCTGACTCAATTCATTTACTAAAAAAGATAATAAATCAATCAATTTAAATCCGACCGTTCAAATTTATCCAACTCTAATAAAAGAGCCGAGGATATTAAAAATTACATATAATAATTAATTGTATTAGTAAAATAGTATTAAGTCATGTGACATGTGAGATTGTTTATCATTTTTATAAAATATTTGTTTTAATTAATTATACATGTGGGTAATGTGGTTAATAAATAATAAGTCTAAAACAAGAATATTATCAAACATATAGAAAGTTAAAATGATTTAATATAAAAATATAATAAAAATTAGTTAATAAGATTAAGATTTAAATGCAATTTTAGTTATCTTATTAAAAAAATTATTTTAAATTATTTTAAATTTTAAAATTCAATTTTTGTTTTTAAGATTTTTTGGCATCCTTAACTTTTTCATAAGTGACGGTGATAATTGTTAGAAAAATGTTGTAATTTATTATAGTAAAAATATAACTGATTACACCCTATTTCTGGAATGTTCAAAATCAAACATAGATTTAGTGTAATTGATTACTCAAAATGTGTAATAGGTTACACCTTTTCTAGTTTTTATATTTTTAGAAAGTAATTTAGCGTAACCGATTAAACCAAATATCTAGTTGGTTACTTGTTTGAGAAGTTTTTTTTTTCATTAGTTAGTTAGTTATATTATTTTGTATAGATGTATAAATATTTATGTTGGGTTATTAATGATAGAACACTATTTTTTTTAATTATAATTCTCTTATTATTTCCGTCTCTCCATTATTCACCATTGTTCTTATGATTGGATATTTACTCAATATTTGACATCAAAAGTCTGGTTCTTTGATCAAACACTTAATGTATGAAAATGCTCTCCATCTCCGGTGTATGTAACCCTGCAAAACTCTCAATTCTCAATGCAAAAAATTATGACAAGTGGTGCAAACAGATGAAGGTGTTGATTTATTATCAAGATGTTCTTGGAGTGATCAAGAAGAGTGTTAATCCACTTATAGAAGGTTCAACGACTACACAAAGAACTATGCACAAGGAAGAAAAGACGAAATATTTTAATGCTTTGTATCTTATTCATTAATGTGTTGGTACTGGTAATTTTGAGAATGCTGGTGACTGCACATCCTAAAGGAAGCTTGAGAAATCTTGGAGAAAAGTTATGCAAGAGCTGATAATGCAAAGGTGATAAGATTACAAACTCACAAGAGGCAGCTGGAGCTAGTTCAAATGGAACCATTAATGAGTTTACTACGAGAATCACAAGATTGGAGAATCTAGTGAAAGTTTATGGAGAGACAATCATCGAGCAGTATGTGGTTATAAAATCTTGAGATCCTCTATGTCAAAATTTGATAACATAGTGGTTTCCATTGAAGATTCCAAGGATCTTTTAACTATTAACAAAGAAGAGTTGCAAATTTCTCTTAAGGATCATGAGTAGAGAATGGAGGTGAAAGATGTTGACAAAGTAAGGTTGAGGTTGCATTGTAAGCTCCTTTCATTGGAAAGGACAAGAAAGTAAATGGAAGGTGGTCCATGAGTAGAGGTAGAGAAAACCACCACAACAATGGTGGGAGAGACTCCCAAAATTTCAATAATTCAATATTCCAAAAGGGTGAAAGCAGCGACAACAAAGGTGGTAGATCGAGCAATTACAAAGGTGTCAATAATAAAGGAAGGGGAGGAATATGGAGAAATTACAAGAGAAATGTCCAATGTTATAACTGTCAAACACTTAGATATTTTGCTCGCGAGTGTCATGCCAATAAGAATGATTCACCAGAAGATGACGCAAGGATTGAAAGGCAATAAGATGACGAGAGCACACTATTAATGGTGATTGATGAAGCAAAAAACAATGTAGGAAAATGCAGTCAAGGCCGATTACAATCGCTTGAAAACATGATGGTGACTACGCGAGAAGATGTATAATGCATGATCAATGATACCTTGACTCTGGGTGTTCAACGCACATGACAAGAAGGAAGGATTAGTTTGTTAAAATCAATCAAGCATTGAAGAACAAGGTGAAATTCGTGGATGATAACACACTTATAACATACCTTTGATTAAAGATGTGTTGTATATTCTGGGAATTAAATGTAATCTTTTAAGCATTAGCCAATTTTTTGAAAGGAATTACAAGATTCTCATGGAAAAGAAAGTGTTGAAAGTTATGGATGTGAATGGATGTTTGATCCTAAAGGCCCTTATGGCTCAAAACAGAACTCTCAAAGTTGAATTGAAAGTAATGGATCACATGTGTCTTGTAACTCAAGTAGGGAATAATGGATATGGCACTATAGGCTTTGGCATTTGAATTTTAAGTACCTCAATGTCATGCAGAAAAATAACATAGTTATGAGTCTGCCATTGATCGATATGCCAACTGAAGTATGTGAAGAGTGTAACATGTTGTTGGCTGAAGATTTTGATAATGATATTAGAAGCCAAATGAATTAAACGTTTTGATCGAAATGAGGTGAAGCGTCATATTTCGAAGTAGCAGAAGCAGTGTTTCGAATAAGTGTGTCAAAGCTTGGAGCTTCGAGTGGCAATTATGGGAACATATCTAAAGAAGTATCGAAATAACAACAAGGCTGTGTCTGGGAAGAGCGTTCGAAACGGAGAAGCACCAAAGCATTTGAAATTCAAATGGAAGCGGGACTTTCGAAGTTTGAAAGTTATGCGTTGGAGCATTTGGGGACACGTGGAAAGATGAAAGAGGCATTGTCCTGCATGTTCTAAACGTGGCATAATCCTATAGCAAGACCGTTATGGTCGAATTAGTATAAATAGAAGTCTTAGTATTAGGATTTCGTGTGTCATATCTATTATACAAAATACTCAATAACATTCAAACTACCACATGGCAAGGGAAACGAATGCAAGAGAAATGTATGTATGATAGCACCATGTATTTCTGATTTAATGAAAACCTTTTACCGTTTCCAGTACTTTCCTTTATACTTTTTGTCAAACAACATTTACAAGTTTTCTTATTTACAGTCTTTTCATTTCGAAGTCTCTTCTTCAAAGTTTCACATTTTAATGTTTTCTTCATATTTCAAGCACTTCATATCTCAGAAAACTGTCATATTTTCCATACTTTTACCTTCAAGTCTTATCCTTCGAACGCATATTTTTACTTAAAATCATTTAAAGATTTCTTGCGTTAGACGCTTTCTTCATATTTCAAACCTTTTACGTTCCAGAAATCCTTTATATTAACTGTTTTGTAAGTCGAAACCATTTACTTCACTTTTACGCAGTTTTACATGTCTTTACAACTAGCATCACAATTAGCATTTGTTCATGTAACTTAGTTTTCACACACATTTTGATTACATCTTTAGACTTTTAGAGGGAGAAATCGAAATAAGCCAAACACATATACAATACAAACCATGAATATTTGTTCGATCGTGAGAGTAACCTTAATATCCAAGGAGTCCTAGGATCAATCTAGTCGATCC